AACATTTCACACTCGGAGGGGCACAAAGATGGCGGACGCCCATATTTGGATAGGTCGAAATAGGTCAGTGACGTCACGTGAAAGCCAAGAATAGCGTACAACACAAATAACTTCAATGCATGTACATATCCAGGAATTATTTTACCGATTCTCGGTCACTCCTTTACCTCGGGCGTAATGTATTGATAAGAAATAACGTAACGATAAGACACTTGCATATGGACACAACTCAAACTAAGAATGTTATTCTCAAATGAATGACACGTGGTCAGAAATTGGAAAACATTACGCCCAAGGTAAAGAGGACTATTATTTACTTATTTCAGTGCGTACTTTAATATAATACTCAAGCGAGTAAAACTCTTTTTTGCAGTTTCTCTAAATCAGAGACTCCAGCTCACAATCAAATAATAATCTTTTGTAGGATTTTTCATTCTTATTTTCATTTCTTTCTGCCACCTTTTTTCTTTCGTTTCTCTTTCGCTTCCTTTTTGGCTTTTAGTCTTTGCTTTTCGTCAACTTTTTCTCCTAACACGATGTTCTTGAATGTCGCTTTGTTATCCCATAATGCCTTGCCACCTTTCTGTTTGCATCTGAAATGAGTAATATTACGTCATCATAGGTAAGAGTAATGTGTTGCAAGCAGCCGTCTTGGAATCCACCACTCTCTTGAATACGATGCGATTACTTTCTCGTTAGCCATTCTCTTTCAACAACTACACTTATATGCATACACTATTGGAAGCGATCCCCTTCACAGAAACGTTTGCCGTCATGAAAGCGACGATTATCGATGAAGGGACGGCACTCATGATTGAAAAGCCGACAAATTCATGAAAGTGCTCGCCCACTTCAGAGCGACCACTCTTATGAAAGCGACCGCGCTATAGAAAGCGACCACTCTTATAGAAGCGACCACTCTTATAGAAGCGACCGCGCTCTTGAGAACGACCACTTTTACGAAAGCGACCACTCTTAAGGAATCGACCGCGCTATTGAAAAGACACCACCTTCATGGAAGCGCTATTCCACTCGAAAGCGACCACTCTTATAAAATCGACCGCGCTCTTGATAGCGACCACCCTCAAACCGACCTCCAATAACGTACAAGCTAGACATTATAACTGAGTAATTTCTTTAGAAAGTGACCATAACCCCTATAACCCAATGCTCAAGGAAAAATATTAAATCCAGAAACCTTTTTTCTGCGGTTACGAATTCAATGATACCAAAAAAGCTATCACCTAAAATAGTTGTCTGAAACGTAGGTTGTCAGTGGTAGTTACAAAATCATATTTCTTTCTATATTGATTCTTCCATGGTCATACCAATATTTCTACACTGAAAAAATCCCGATAAGATAAATGAGAATGATTGAGAACTGTTCTCAAATAACGAGATTGTAATACACTTGATGTTCAATTAATAGCAACGAATCACAGCCAGTATTTCGACACAAACCAATGACTTAAAACTTKATACTCAATTGCGTCTTTCAACTTTGGTTAGACCAAATGGAACTCAATATTATCGGCTCGACTTTGATTTTAAGCTAATTGTGATATATACGATGCTAAGCCGAAAACAAACACTGAATCATTATTTGTTCAGAGATATCAGAGCACTTGGTCTTGTCAACCAGCTGAAGAGATATCATACGATAATCTTGGTTATCAACTTTACCAAAAGTCCAATATATCTTGGCGTCTCTGCACGAAATTGAATACAGATTAAAAATTGAACGCAAATAAAAAAAAAAACGCTTTCCACACCAATCCTTTCATTGACTAAAAACAGACTTGTTAACTGAAAAAATGGCAAAGGTTTAAAAATAATCAAAGTGTGTAAACTGAGCTCAAGATTTYGTTGATTTTAAAGCGTATTTGTTTTTTAAAAAGGTTAAACAAAATAGACATAAAAGTGCTGTTGTTTGGTCCGGATAAATATTCGCTAGACAAACTGACCATTCAAATTTTCGAAAAGAGAAATTGTCAAAACGACCACTTTAATAACAACAGAACTATAATTCAAGATTTTAACTGAATAAAAGGTAAGAGACATAGAAGCCCAAAAAATCGTTGCAATAGCTTGAATAAATGAGTCTTCGCTATAAATCTTTATCTAAAACGAAGTACTGCAAAACCATTACTGAAATAATAGCATAGAACATAGTTAATAGAATAAAAAATAATAGAAATTCAGTTCTTTTTGTTTTACTTACTGAGGGCAAAGTTGACTCTCTATTTCTCGTTTGTTCTTCGGATTCAGCCTAATAGCACAAACTCTACATCTTGTGCTCTCTTCTTGACCCATTGTTGATAGTCAGAACTCTCTCTTCTATTTCCACTTTGTCACTCTTTCAAAACAAAGTGTTCAGTAACTCCAACTGAGACGAATCAATGTTAATGCTTAACTCTTCTTAAGGGACGTTTAGATTTCCCAGTTATGTGTTTTCAGAGGATGATTTCGTCTTTAAGAATCTCAAGTAAAGCGCTTAAATCAGGTGACTGACGAAGACGTTCACCGTCGGTGACCACACCACACCGAATCTTAGATTTTTTCTATTAATTTGACGAATCATGACAAGCAATCTGTCGCACTAAAATAAATAATGGTAGTGCTAGATATTCAGTGACACATTTGCTTATTTTGAAGCCAATATTCGCTTGTTTTTTTAAACATTGAATAAACATCCCGTGGGAGGGTGGGTAACCACGAGGAATCGGCGCCCCGACAAAAATCACGTGATCTAGAGATAAGAATTGAACATTTTATTCTAATTCCCTTCTGCGCATGCTCGTATTGCTGATATTAATATATCAACTTTTTAGGACGTCATTCATGTCTTTTGGAGAAATATCGCCTCGGAATCGTTTGTATGATCAAATCAAAGAACTCTGACTGCGTTGTAATTGGGTTGGTTTTAACCAGGGATTGATCGTCCATGATAAACATCAGCCACAACCATCATCATTATAAGGATTTCGTCATGTGTTGAGCACATAGAAAAAGATTGCAGGATGTAGGTGAAAGTATTACAGTAGGCGGGAAGGTCTTAAGATCAATAGGCGCAATCTCCTAAAGCAATTGGGGGGAAAAGGAAAGGAAAGAAAGAAGAGAAGAGAGAAGAGAAACAAAAGAAAAGAAATATAAAGAAAAGAATACGATTGAAAAAGAGAGGGAAGAAAGTATATTTTGCCCATTTTTCAAACACACAACTTCATATATTTTCCATTAACAGATCACTGATTTTCAGCATAGCACTCAAATGGCTTCTTAACTGAAACATTCTGATTGGATACTGGTTTCCCGGCATTTGATTGGCTGAAAACGCAAACCATAATAGCCAACTTAGCAGGCGTTTCCCACTCACAATCAATTCTTCTCTAATAAACAACTTTGAAAAAAAAAMCCGTAAAGTTACTTCAGTTTTAATGCAAATCTAGTAAAAATATCTCCCTTCAATAAAAGTAAGTTACACGAAACTCCTAACCATTTTGGTTAGTCGATAATGCCTCTCTAGGCTCCAGGTGTTTGCCATCTGTAATTCTTGTAATTTTTAAAACTCGATAACATAACAGATAGTGGAAACCCAACATTATTTTACGAACGCCAGTTCAGCATCATGCGCTCGCCCAAGAGATCAAAGGTGATCAAAATATGGTTTTTGGTGAAAAAAAAAAGGTTCGCAAACAATGGTGCACGATTTGAAAAAAATCGTAATCCAAAAATGGTGGTTGGTTTTGAAGAAATCGCTTTTGTCTGACTCAAAATAGTTGGTCGATTTAGAATGAGTAAATCGATGCAAAAAGTTGTTGGTCGGTTCGAGATGGATGCATGGTCGATACAAGAGGTTGGTACGTCGGTTCAATTTGGTTGGTCGATACAAAAAGGTGGTTTATTCAATATGACCGGTCGATCCCAAAAAAGTACCTGATGGAAAAAAGAAAGTCGATCCAAAAACGCTGGTCGATGTGGAAATGTTGCTTGATCCAAATAAGGTGACATTTGGTCTATGAAAGAATATGTGGTTGAATCAGGTTTGTCGATCCAAAATAGACACGGTTGTTCCAAAAGTGTGTTTGATATTGACACAAAATTGTTCAGGTTGTCGGCCTGCAAACTATGAGATCATTGTGTAGCGATTTTCTTTATTCTTTTATTAGTCTTTTTATACCATAAGCTAAGCTAAATAAATACTATATCTAATATTTTCCTTTCGTGTCTATGTTCCATGTACATTAAAACAGATTAACTACGAAACGCATGCGYAAAGACTTACATAGTAAATTCTGAGCCTGTGTTCCTTTGGGTCAGCACAAACTCTGCTGATAAATAATCCTCCATTTTGGAGCAAAGTTTTTTATCTTACTGCCTCGATTTTATGGTCTTAACACGGGAAATCACTGATCACGTGTTGTGCACGTGACACGCACCTGTAACACACGTGTCTATCTACTCCCTTCAGATAAGTCGTAATGCGGTCGCCATTTTTTTCTTATATACATATCAGTATCATAGACCGAGTTACTCTCAGATATAATTATCCATACCAATTAATAATATCTAATCATTTATTCCTAATTTAACATCTCTAAACATTTTCAGTGAAATCTCAAAACTCTGTTCCAAGTATCAAAACATACTATCTCGCAAAAATGACCTAGAACCTTTACTTTCAAATGAAAATGGTTGAAAATATTCAATCCTTTTTGAAAATAATTTGTACTTGTACATATCTATTTTACTTTAATCTTCTCGTCACATTCTCAGAATTTTTTAACTAAGTTTTTCCTAAAAGGAAATATGACAAGTGTTTTTCCTAGCGACTTCACATCTAATCTATATTATCTACAGTATGCCATATATGGTTCCCACTCGACGAACTACGTCACACACTAACTGCCTCACTTTGGTGTCAGTACCTGTCGTTATCAGGCCTGTCACAGCAGGGAATACCGCTGGCAATACTGCCTTGAACTGCAGCGTCGGAAGACCAAGTAAAGACTCTAACATGAGAATCACTAAATTTGTCCAAATTCCTAATTGCAGTAGTTCGTCTTCTTTTCGTTTCAACATTTGTCTCTCAAGTTCGATCATTCGAAGATCTTCTTCGATATGGTGTTTGCGATTCTCCCTACTCGTTTTCTCTTTCTTGTGATCGGGAGAGCCATACTTCCACGATGAGTTCATTCCAGGAGAATTTGGTCTTTCATCAGGATCACGGGCAGGGGATGACATGGGCGTCCAAGTAAGACTCCTGTCCAAGTCAGACTCGGTTGTCGTATAATTATATTGATTATCAATCGTGTAGTGATTGTATAAGCGAATATAAACACTTGTCAGTTGATCGCAAGCCTCGTGTAATCTCCTCACAATCCACTCCACGCTACCGCTACCCTTTAGTAGATCATTGTGTCGGTTTGGACTTCCAAGAACATCCTCCTTCACAAAATCGTCCTTTTCGTGCGAATGCGCGTGCGAATTCGCATGCGCATGGCCGTGTCCATGGCTACCGTTACTATGGTTACCATTAGCCCGGTCCCCTGTGAGGATACGCTTAATGTGCGAGCTGGAAAAGTGTTCTCCACTATGTTTACATATTTGAAATAAAGTATGCAGATAACAAGTGAATGCCGTTGTCGACTGTCGTAGAAGATTCGCTGGATGATCGAGCTTGGCGAGTTTTTGAATCAAAGACCTCAGCCCTGGTCTAGCGTTGAACTCGTAAGCTACAGTATGTGACTCCATTAAACAATCAAACAAAACAGACAGGTTAGCCGGAGAAAGATAAGACAAAAGCCCTGGTAGTATAGTCTCAGTACCATCACCAGAGGCGGCATCTTCATCGGTTTTCAAGCTTGTAAAGATAATGCTTGTCGTGTTGGCGTCGTCGTTCGCGCTCAGCAGCACAGAGCTGATAGTTTGTAGTAACAACTGGTGAGAGAGAAGACCAACGAGTAGACTTCTCATTGGTACCCTGAAGAAAAAGATAATTTCAATACACAATCACATACAATACTCGCTCCTTACTAGAGCGGTTTTCGTACCAGTGGAAAACATACAGTACGACATGCCGTAACATTGAAATGGCTTCCCATAAGAATGGTTATCGTAAGAGTGGGAAACATACGGTGCTGACTTACAGCATGTAACCGGTACCACATGCCGTAACATTGAAATGGCTTCCCATTGTCTTTCAGGAAATCATCCAATCACAACATGAAGTTGCGGTTACGGTAAGATACGTTAGGACTACAGGCTACGGACTACGGCTACGAATTTGCGGTATCATTTCCAACTAATACGAAAACCGCCCTAAAGTCTCTGTAAACTGGGAATGTTTTAACGGGTTAATAAATAAGCACCTGTTCGCGTTCTCTGGTTTATCTTTGTTCTCGATGGTTGATAGAACAAACATGTAAGTACGATGTTCATCTTCTTCGCTTGTTTCTTCTCGAGTCGGTTCTTTGCGCACAGGGAGCCCAGTAACTTGACTATCAAGAAGGAAAACCTGATGAAACAATGTTAAACATCAATGATTTTAAAAGATAGTTTGCGAACATAAAATACATCAGAGAGCAATGTTACCAAAATAGAAATTACACCACTCAGGTGGTTTTCATTTTCACTTTGCATGTTCTGGGTAGAGTTACTGTTATGCGTCTCTCCTATGTGTCTGTTATTTATAGTATACAATATAAAGGTTTTCTGTGCGAAGAAACGTAGTGGCTAAGCACAGAAAATACATTAAAAAGCACTGAGTGGGGTTTTCAAAATGTGCACGTGCGTATTTATGCGAGAGTGTACCAAAGACCTTTTCTGCGATAAAGTAAAGGTGCTGACACACGATGCAACATTGCAAGCCACAGGACTGTTGCAGCGTGTGTCTACCCCAAACTTGTTGCACGCAACGTTGCATGCAACAAATCTGAAGTTGAATCGCGCTCTACTATTGCAACATTGCGCGCAACAAATTTCATCATGTGAACATGGCTGCAACATTACCTGCAACATTTTGAATTTTTCCAGCCAATCAGCTTGCACCAAATTTATAACTGCTGACCAAATATCTTAACATAGCAGGCTGACACATGCGATGTTGCGTAATTTTGTTGCAATGTGTTTCAGCACCTTAAGGTGCGTTGTGGTCTGGCTTGGGTACAAACAACACCATGATGCACAAAAGATGTTTGTACCCAGAATGCGCAATAACAACGATAAATGATAATGATAATTCAAGCACGTAAACCTATTCGAATCGAAGCCAGACAGTTTTCTGTAACACATTTTCGTACCTGTTCTGCAACTTGTTGCAGCCTAAAAGAGTCTCCATGAACAGCTTCTCTCCGTGCCACTACCTTGACCGTCATGCCTTCATCTCCACTAACACTCAACGAACCAGGCTGAAAACACGTGACCATGTCCTTGATATTAAACAATGTGGCTTGGACGGCTTCTTGTAGTCCATCACAGACAATCTGCCATAAATCTTCAGTAAATAATGGCCCTCCTGATAACAACAGATGCCTGAAAAGACAAATTACTTACTAAGACGCGTGTTGAGTGTGCAGTCTATGATTGTCCTTATCATATAAACAACTCCAATTATTGTAATTTTACTGGTCAAAAACCATCAGAAAGCATCGTGTCAGCTTCATAATCATGGGTTAGGGTTACTTACCTCAGGCATGAACATCCAAGTCTAGCGATTCCCTCTACAGGCTGAGACACACAGTCGATCAGAAGATCAAGGTTTTGTTTAATCATCCCTGGTACACACTCTGATGCGCCTGCGCAAATCATAACAAGAGGATAACGTCAATCATTCAACATAAATAGTGTTAAAGGAACAGGGCGGTTACCCTAAAATGGCTTCGTATCTGGACCAATCATATTAGAGAATACATACACCAACCAATCAGAACACTTGAATACGGAAGCCACTTAAGAGTTACGTACCGCACTTTTATCACTCATGCGAGAAATTTTTATGATACTATTTTGAATTATTTCTTCTGTGGAGGGCACAGTGGAATTAGCAAATCATGCTAGGCGGGGGGAAGGGGGTGAGTTTGGATTTGTCAATACCTTCTGGGGAGGGGATAGAGGAATAGAGCAAATAACCCTAAGGGGAGAGGGGATGAGTTTCCATTTGTCAATACCTTGTACACTGAGAAATTGTCCAAGTTCCTCCACAATAAGCTCAGTAGCTAGTCCGCATGCGTGCTTGAAGTTGCCCGCTGTACTCTCCCAGTAATGTCTGTTCCTCTCGCCGCGGTACACCCACTCTCGAAGCATGGGTAACAGCAAGTGGGTTATGGTATAAATTGAAAAATTAGGGCCAGGAACAGATGTTATGGATCGTAGGATTTCAAACAGGACCTCTAAAGTCTGGGGCTGATATCGCCTGGGACAATATGCTGCTGCACTTGTAAGCCCCTCTAGAAGAAGGTACCATACACGTAGGACCCCTGTGTCATCAATAGCAGTTATTGAAGCAGCTGTTGTAGCAGAAGTGGGACTAATAGGGGTCTTATTCTTGGGTGTATTAGGTGCTTGTTTGACAGGACTTGATCCAGGACTGGAAGATGTAGTAGAGTACGCGCTAGGAAGATGAACTAATGTAATTGAATGCGCACCATGGAACACTAGACTAGATGGCATGATGTGAATAGATGCCAACTTTTTGGACATATTGGACAAGTGCTCCAAAGCAGGAAGACACATATCATTTAGAAAATTCGTGCTCTCGCTACTCATAATACTATCGATATCACTTCGGCTGTCGTCCGTCGGTTCTTCGTAAGGCGATCCTCGTACGAACTTCAGAAGAGACTGGATGCACTCAACAGCCGCTGCTCCGAAAACTGCAGGGTTTTTATTCCCAAGGAAAGCAGAAATGATGGTAAAAACAGGAGAAGGGTGTTGTTCTAGTTCGTAGTTTTCAAGCGCCTGTCGATTGTAGTAGCGGACTGAGCGTATTGCTCTGAAGACGGGTCGCCAGCCTGACTTGATGCTGGTCGTGTGGAGTCCTATGAGCTCAGCAAGGGTAAGAAGAGCCTAGGAAATAAAAAAATATGATCAGCTAATGATGATTAAATAGATGTCTCTCTGTCCTTTTATGGGGTCTCGGGTTTGGTGTCTGTATGTAATTAGAGATTGTTGGGTCTCTCTGCCTTCATTCGAGGCTTCCTCGATTTTCCTCCCTCCGTAAAACCTAACATGCTCAATTCCAATTCAATCTGTGAGTTAGCCTTGCCCTGAATTAGATTAGCCCAGAGGGTGTTTCAGGGTTCAATCTGTAAGTTAGCCGTGCCCTGACTTAGATCAGCCCAGAGGTTGTTTCAGGGTTCGATCTGTGAGTTAGCCGTGCCCTGACTTAGATCAGCCCAGAGGGTGTTTCAGGGGTCGATCTGTGAGTTAGCCGTGGCCTGACTTAGATCAGCCCAGAGGTTGTTTCAGGGTTCGATCTTTGAATTAGCCCTGCCCTGACTTAGATCAGCCCAGAGGTTGTTTCAGGGTTCGATCTTTGAATTAGCCCTGCCCTGACTTAGATCAGCCCAGAGGTTGTTTCAGGGTTTGATCTGTGAGTTAGCCCTGCCTTAACATAGATCAGCCCAGCTTGGTGTAATAAAGTATCCATTACCTGCTCTTGTTCTTCTTCCCCGCACAGCTCCAAGGTCAACATGCTCTCAAATGGTTTGAAAAGAGCTTCGTGAAACCAGAAATGAGGCAGCTCGTTACGATTGGTCAAGAACTCGCTCAATACGTCATGAAGGCACGTGATTGACAGCTTTGCTATGTGTCTTTCTCTGTGACATGCCGCCTACGGATAAAAAAATATTCAAAAAGAATTTGGTATCTAAACTTGAAAATGTATGGAAAAGGGAACTCCGTGCCGTGACCATGCAATTTCCGAGCATTCTGATTGGATAAGCTGTGTTCTAAGGGAATCATTCTGATTGGAAGCACAGAAATACACATCAACCAATCACAAAGCTTGATTTTGAAGGCCATGAATGTCAAAAACCTTACACCTCTTATACGAAAATGATCATCAAATAGCTTCAAGATTTCATTACCTCTACAAAATGTGGCGAAAGCAGCGCCCATGCGCGCATGAGGTGAAGTAACGGCCGGTTAGGATTGCGGGCGCTTCTCAACATGACATCAGCCAGCCTATATAGATGTAACGGTGTGAAGTTGGATGATAGTTGACTGGTATTGACTGACTGTATTGATGGAGCTTGCATCAACGAAGCGTCCAAAGAACTGCCAAACAACTGCTTTTGGGATGCTTGGATAAGAGCCTGTAGAGAAATGGTATTTTAGTAATACCTTCGTAATCCAAAACCCTTCATAAATCGACCATTTATCTAAAAGGAATTGCCTTGTTTGACTAGCCGGCCGCTTCAGACGACCATGTCCTTCAATATAACAACCTTTTTACGCCACCTCTTTATATCGACCAAACTCTTTAACCGACTACGTTCCACATCTGACTACCTGTGAAAAGTGGCCACTCGTCATAAGCGACCACCTCCCTGACTGACCAACTATTTTAACTGAAAGCCTTTTCAAGTTATATCGACCACATTGAAAACAATTAAAGTATCAAACAGATTCTTACCTGCATAAACGAGAGTAAGGAACCGATGTTAAGAGTGTTAGCAGCATGCTCAAAGAGTCGATCAACAGCTGCTGATAGAGCGAAGATAGCCCGCGACACATCGCCAGAGCTCAGTATTCCACCATTAGTACTTGACTGGTCCGAAATACGAGACGAGTCACCATTTGGAGAAACATCACCGTTCAAGTACCCTGATAGACTTGATGAGGAGTCAGAGAGGGGTGAAATGTGGTCGCTGTTGTTGCGCGATGAATGATGGGAAGGATCGAGGGTACCACTGTTGGACTGTTGGCGTTCTAGTTCAGTGATGTACGAACAGCACCTGAAAAATTAATTAATTCGATATTCCTAAGCAGTTTTTCGAGTGCACCGCTATCATAATGCTCTTGAACAATATCAGCAATCAATATCGTATATCATCATCACTATCACCGTGTTTACGGTTTCAGTGTTTATCATCATCGCAATCATTATTATCATTATCACCATCATCATCATCATAACCTTCAATAATATGATAATCACTATCAATCATCATCATCATCGACTTCACCATCATCATCACCATCATCATCTCATCATTATCATCATATAATCGAAACGTTTACACACCACATCTTAAAGATTCACCCACGGTCCCATATTCACCTGAAGACATGTTTCCAGCATTTAGGGGCGTGACTCCCCAACTCCACACCAACAGCCAGCAGCCCGTCCATACTCAGCACCTGAGCTGCATGCAGTTTTACCGGGCCTGAAGCCATATGTTGTCTGGCGCGTTTAGCTGCCGACCCTTCCCCTCCACAGGAGGCATTTGCCAGGAGAGCCAGCACCAGTTCACAGCGTGTCTGGATTCCAAGAGTGCACGACAGACGAGCCGCTCGTCGAAGACCGTCAAGACTTAGACAGATTGTGTCTCGTTCACGATTGTGGTCTCGTTGTTTAGATTCTCCGCCCAACATCACGGCGATGCTATTACTACTACCCATAGCTGGAGAAAAAATGGATGAAATTGGTCTCTGAAATTGTTTGAATTGCAACGACCAAGTCCCTAACCTACCCCACCCTACAAGAATGAACTCAGTCACGTGTTCTTACTTGACGCAGTGGTTTCCAAGGGCAACGACCAAG